GGGGGGGGAAAGGAAGGTAAATGCCTGTGAGTTAATTATATTAGAGGTGATAATTGGGGAAACTATCTTTGTAATGGGGAAGGTAATTAGCGTCTTTATTCAAATTTGAGTGTAAAGTGTCGAATTTAAGCATGAATGACAGTTCAGAGGATTCTCTTTGAAGTGAAGTCTTAAAAGGCCTTTGAAGCAGGATGCAGGTAATCAAGTCGTTGAGACAATGTCCTTTCTGGTTGAAATGGCAAAAAACTGTTTTTTCTTTGTGATCCTGACTGATATCTGTTTTGTGGGCATTGATCCTTTGATCCAGTTCTGGCCAGTGGGCTGCGGAGAGGAGACCTCAGTTCCCTGCCCAGCTGGTTCCAGCCAGGAGAACCATGGATGGAGGAGGGAAAGCGGAGAAGAGGGGCCCAGGGGACCCTCAATACTTGTATAGGAGACAGGGAGGGGCTGCTGGAGGGGATATTGGAGGCTCTGCTGGAAGAAGGGGTCTCTGAACAGGGAGTGAGCAGGCAGAGCCCCGGGCTGCAGGGCAGACTCAGACGTGCTGGGTGGGGTGGGGGTTCAGGCCAATAGGCCTGAGGGATCCTTTGCTGCGTTCAAAGCTCAGTGAATGCCCCGAGTGGTGCTAGCGGCGAGTCGCTCTGGGCTGGAGAACAGGGCTGCACCATTTCGTCTGGGGGTGGCAGCCCTAGGGGGGGGGGGTCAGAAGGAGGGGATCCCCTGAGGGCAGAGACAGGCTGAAGGCCCTGAGAAGCACCAGGCAAGCAGGTGGAGGGACAGACCCCCAGGGGAGAGGGGGCTCCCTGAGAAGGGGCGTCACACTGGAGGGAGCTTCTGAAGAACGGGCAGCCGCACCGGAGGGGGTTCCCTGGGTAGGGGCCGTCACACGATGAGGGGCTCGACCGGGGACCACAGGGGTCCAACCTGGACGGGACCTGTGAGCCCTGAGGAGCCTCACCCTAGACCAGGGCCCCCTGGTGGCCATGCAGGGGGATGGATTCTGTTACGTTGAACCACAGCTGGAGGGTCAGTTTCTGGGGTTTGTGATGGGGAGCGTCCGGTAGCCTGCTCCTCCCTTTTGCCCTGGATCTGTCCCATGGGCCCAGCTAACCCAGGATCCTGCCCTCTCCCTACCACTCTAGAGTAGCCCCCGGGCTCCCCCAGCCTGGTATCCTGTCCCCTTCCTGCCACCCCAGAAGCTCCGACCTGCTCCCCCCTCACTCTGCTCCCTCCCTTCACTAACCACACGCGCTGTTGAGTCAAATTGGACTGAGCTCCACGGAGGCTGGGGGCAGGAAGGGGGTAACCGGTCTGCACACGTGATGGCAGGCGGCTCAGACTGGGGGGACAGGAAATGTGTCACTGGCCCCAGCATGAGCAGGAAGGAGAAGCACGTTTGAGCGCTGGCTGCTGGGCTGTGCCAGTGCCCCTCGCGCCCCAGCTGCTGCACCTGTGCGCTGCCCCCAGAGCAGCAGGCAGGCTGAGATCGCGGGCGGCCCCGCTAGGGACGACACCTGTGAGGTGCATTATCAGCAGTGCAAAGGCAGCGTGTGGCAGAGGATGGGAGCTGAGAGCTGGCGTTGCTGGGGGCTCTTGTTGCACTGGCAGAGCAGTGGGGGCCAGTGGGCTGGAGTAGGGGAACGAGGGGACCAGGATCTGGGCTGAGGTCTGCACCTAGTGGTGCAGCACTAGAGTGACAAGGCCCCCAGTATCAACGGGGCACTGCGAGGTCTGAGCAGCACCTGGCGCGATGGGCCCTGATCTCGGCTGGGGTCTGAGCAGCGCCCGGCGCGATGGGTCCTGATCTCGGCTGGTCTGAGCAGTGCCCGGCGCGATGGGCCCTGATCTCGGCTGGTCTGAGCAGCGCCCGGCGCGATGGGGACCTGATCTCGGTGCTCGGAGGAGCGCCCGGCGCGATGGGGACCTGATCTCGGGGCGGGG